CCTGCCTGCAGGTGAGAGATCCAGCCGTTTGCTTCGGGGACGCTTGTGGGGAGGTCCTATGAGCAGATGGAGGGGCCCTTGCGCCTTCCACTGGGCCGTGGATGGGCAAGACGGCCACCGCACACCTCACCCCTGCTGCCACCTCACGCTTGCCATGTCCCACCCTCATCACCCCCACCTTCGTTATTATGGTGCCTCGTCCTCTCCTCCTCTGTGTGTCTTCCCCTGTCGATGTTGTTCCCTACCTAGGCTCTGCCTAGAAGGGTTCCTTAAAGGGCCGGGCAGTGGAACTCGCCCCGGGCGGTTCCCCCGGCATCCGCCCCGCGGTTCCCCCAGTTACGTCCCCTTAGCTTAGCGTTGCTTATCTCATCTTAGCTTAGCTTATTTCATGTTAGCTTAGCTTAGCTTCAGCTTAGCTCAGGTTTATCTTAGCTTAGCTTATCTTCATCTTAGCTTCGCTGAGCTTTAGCATAGCAGAGCACAGCATAGCATAGCGTAGCATAGCATAGCGCAGCACAGCGTATCATAGCATAGCCCAGCATAGCATAGCATAGCGCAGCATAGCATAGCATAGCATAGCATAGCAGAGCGCAGCACAACACAGCACAACATGTCTTAGCTTAGCTTACCTTCATCTTAGTTTCGCTGAGCTTTAGCATAGCAGAGCACAACATAGCATAGCGTAGCATAGCATAACGCAGCACAGCATATCATAGCATAGCCGAGCATAGCATAGCATAGCGCATCATAGCATAGCATAGCATAGCATAGCATAGCGCAGCACAGCACAGCATAGCACAGCGCAGCATAGCATTAGCATGGGTGTAATTCCCTACCTAGGCTCTGCCTAGAGGGTTAGCTTAGCTTAGCTTAGCTTGGAATAGCGCAGCGCTGCATTAGCATAGCATAGCATAGCATAACATAGTCAATCATAGCATAGCATAGCATAGCGCAGCATAGCATAGCATAGCATAGCATAGCATAGCGCAGCTTAGCATAGCAAAGCGTAGCATAGCATAGCTTAGCATAGCACAGCGCAGCATGCCATAGCATAGCTTAGCATAGCATAGCATAGCATAGCATAGAGCAGCATAGCATGGCCTAGCATAGCATAGCATGACATAATAACTAATGCTGCTTTCCTAGGGGCTCCAACTTCTAGGTAGGGTCGCACTGGGGTAATTATACATCAATGCCGGTGGCCCTTGGAGCGGCGCTCCAAGGGCCACTTGGCGCTAGTTTTATCACCCCCCCAGGGCCAAAGGCCCCGCGGTGGGGGGAGGGCTGCTTTCACCGAACACTCTAGCCGACAGGAACCAGGAGAAGGAGGAGGAGGAGGAGGACCAGTGTAATTCCAAGTGTCACCAACGATGTTGGAATAAACCCTCCCCCCAAGCTCCCTTTTCATATGCCTCTACAACGGTTCATTTCCACAGAGGGGCCTGCCTCGTTGAAATACAGCCGTTTGAAGACCCTGAAGCATGCCAAACCATTATTCTCGGTATTCCAACGCCACGGGTAAACCTGATTGTTGCGTCTTGACGATCCTGAATCGTGCTAGAACGCCATTCCTGGGACCTCACCACAAATCATCGTAAATGTTGCGGTATCGTAATCGTGAATTCGTCCAAAACACTATTTCTAGTACGTCGATCGTGGGAATCCGTGAAGCTCTTGCGAGTCTGTAACAAGAATATGCGCGGCGCTAAGGCAAGAGCCACATGTTGAAAACCACCCGCCCTCAATCCGTGAAGCTCTTTCAAATGTTGAAGACGAGTGCGCGGCGCTAAGGCGAGAGCCACATTTTGAAAACCACCCGCAATGAATCCGTGAAACTCGTGCAAATGTTGAGAACGAATGTGCGCGGCGCGCTAAGGCGAGACCTACATGTTTAAAACAATCCGCCCTCCATCTGTGAATGTGCTGCCAATGTTTACTCTTCAGGGTCAAAAATGGCGAGGAAGTCTCAGGCGAAACGCCCAGCCCGCCCTAAAAGCTGGCATCGGGGTGTGACAGGGAGAAGTTATTCATAAGGAGAAGTGATGGAGGAGGACGTGGAGGAGGAGGCGGAGTGGCGGGGAAGAGGACGAGACGAAACCATGAGAGGAGGAGGGATGGGGAGGATGAACGAAGGCGGTGAGGGGCGGAGGAGGAAGAAGACAACACTGCAGAGGGAAAACAGGATTGCGATCTATAAACAACGTGGAGGATGGGGAGGAGGACGAGGAGGAGGACGAGGAGGACGAGGATGAGGACGAGGATGAGGACGAGGAGGAGGAGGACGAGGAGGAGGAGGAGGAGTACGACGAGGACGAGGACGAGGACGAGGACGAGGAGGAACATGAAGAGGAGGGGGAGGAGAGAACATACGTTTGCGAAGGTGGCGGCGGCGACAGCGACGGCAATGACGAAATCGAGGTTGACGGGGCGCGTGGGGGGCGATTGGGCCGTGTTAGGCGTGGTAAGGGCAATTGGGAGGCCTTTTGGAAGAGTCGCGGTAGTGATTGGAACTTTGTTGGTTGGAGCATCTTGGGAGCTCCATGGCCAGGAGGCACCTTGGAGCCTCTTGGGGCTGCTTCGGGCGCCACTTGGGAACTGCAAAGGGGTTCTCTTGGAGGCGCCCGAGGGACTCTGGAGGGCCTTTTGTGGCCTCTCGGGGCACCCTCGGGTTGTTTCTTGGGGCGTGTTGGGGGCCTCTGTGGCCATATTGGAGCGATTTGGGAAGCCTCGTGAATCGCCAGGGCCGCTGTGAGGACAGGAGAGGCCGCAAGTGTAGAATCAGTGGCACTGGATCCTTGCATAAGAAGGGCCTATGAAGAGGGAGCTTGGAGGGAGGGTTTCGTCCCGCGTGGTTGATGAGTCGTGGGTTTACACTGGTCATCCTGCTCCTCTTCTGTCACCTCCCCTTAATCCATTCTCACTCCAACCTGAGGGGCGAGCCACCGAAACTCTGCGCCCTGGCCGAGCCACGGGGCAGAATCCCCACCTCCCCCCTCTCAGGACCTTCCTGGTCCTCCTCCGCCGCGCCGAGCGCACTCCGCGTGAAGCACCCTGCGGGTGCGGCAGCGAGGTGGGCTCTACACGGAAGTGTGCAGGGCCGTGGCAGGACGTCTGACCTCCGCCACGCTGTTCGTGTTCTCATCGGTCCCCTCGCTGTTGTTCTGGATCGAGTCCCGAGCGGAAAGAGAACGAGGCTACGCACTTCGTCCCCGTTCGAGCCAAATTGCCTACGGTGCAGTATTGAACGGGCATCATCGACGATGGGACCGTAGGCGGAGCGGGCATGTGCCCTGGGACACTGGGCCTTAAAAAGGAGGAGGAGGAGGAGGAGGAGAAGGCTTCCACCCGCAGAAGGAGGAGAGGAGAAGGATGAGGATGAGGATGAGGATGAGGATGAGGATGAGGATGATGATGAGGATGAGGATGAGGATGAGGATGAGGATGAGGATGAGGATGAGGATGAGGATGAGGATGAGGATGAGGATGAGGATGAGGATGAGGATGATGATGATGATGATGATGATGATGATGATGATGATGATGATGATGATGATGATGATGATGATGATGATGATGATGATGATGATGATGATGATGATGATGATGATGATGATGATGATGATGATGATGATGATGGTGGTGGTGGTGGTGGTGGTGGTGGTGGTGGTGGTGGTGGTGGTGATGATGATGATGATGATGATGATGATGATGATGATGATGATGATGATGAGGAGGAGGAGGAGGAGGAGGAGGAGGAGGAGGATGAGGATGAGGATGAGGATGAGGATGTGGATGTGGATGAGGATGAGGATGAGGATGATGAGGAGGTGGAGGAGGAGGAGGAGGAGGAGGACGGGGAGAAGGAGGAGAAGGAGGAGGACGAGGAGGAGGAGGAGAAGGAGGAGGGGGAGGAGGAAGAGGGGAGGACGAGGAGGAGCTGGAGGAGGAGAAGGCTTCCACCCGCAGGTCGTGCCGTCCCCCTTCCATCGCTCTCCCGGGCAGACTCCACACGCACTCGATGAGGTAACTAGGTCGCGGCCCTCGCTAGGGGCTCCACGGCCGCGATGGAGCGACGTGCCAAGGCCACAAGCGACACAGAAGGAGCAGGATTAGGGGCGGCGTCACGCTGGCCAGCTCGAAAGAGTCAGCGGGCCCCACTCACGTCCACCCGATAATCAAGGCTGGCAGGATTGGATAGTGAGACTGGCGCGCGCTCCCACCCGGCGAGCGGAAGCCGCGCGCAGGTATGGCGATTGCGCGACTGCTCGACACGCTCTTCCGTGTGTTCGAACGGCTATGCTGGCCCGGACCGAGAGGCCCAGCAGGTAAGCGCGCATTCAGCCAGCAGGGCACGCGCCTTGCTCATCCTCTCCCTTCCTACCTCTCTTTCTGCAAGGCCTCTTGCTCTTCCTCGTCCTCATCCTCCCCTTCCGACCCTCACCCTCCCACTATTCCTACCCCGTTTGCTGTACCCAATCCTGCCCCTCCTGACTCTTATCCCCTTGCCTACTCTCATGGCGCCAACATCCCAGAGCGGATTTCGTTCGGAAAGCGATAGGATGGGCCCGGAGTGTCCTGGAGAATTTCGTTCCAGATTTCGAGGTGAATTTCGTGCGGATATGTTTTGGCCAGGAATGAAGACGAAACAAACATCCACGCAACATTCACTTCGTTCTTCACTCGCCGTTTCGGGGTTTTGCGCTGACGGAAATCCACGCAAAAATCTGCCGCAGCACGTCTGCAAGGTCGCTGCAGTGCCTGCTCCCTCGTCACACACGTCTCCACTCCTCTGCCCCACCCCCTCCCTCCCCTGCTCCCTCCGCTCCCTCTCGTCCTCCCCATCCTGCGCCTCGGCCTCCTGTTTCTCACTCCTCCCACTGCTCCTCCATCTCCTCGTCCTCCTCCCCCTACTCCTCCTCGTCCTCTTCCCATTGAGGCCCCCCACACACATACATCATCCATGCCCCCCCCCCCCTCGCGCCATCCCCTTGCCGGAGCAGGCTGCGCTCGTGGCGGCGACGTGACCATGAATTCGTGGTTCGACAGGCGCCTCCATAACCAAGTGGGCAAAAGCGCGGCGGCGGGAGTCTTGGAACTCATCGCAGTGGCTATACAAAGCGATGTGCACAGATCCAGATTACAGACCCAGATCTCCGACGGTATGTTTTTTCAATCATGTCGTTCTCATTTTATTTCGGTCTTATGACCCCCAAACTGGGTTCGAGGCGAGAAGCTCGTCCAGTCGAAGGGGACGGGACCTCTGGGGCGCGGATCGGAACAAACACATATCGTCGGATGTCTGGGATCTGCTCCGATATCGCTCCAGACAGGGCCTCGCCTTCGAGAGATCGGGAGGTCGACTTCTCCCCTATGGCGGAAGCCGGCAGAAGAAAGACAGCGGCGGGTCTGCTGCTGGAAGCCGATGGACCCAGACATCGGCCTTACAGGGTATGTACCCATCGGTCGTTGAGAGCAGGTATTTTTGTATTCCCAGATCCCAAGCTACTTTCAGCGCCTTCCTACTTCGAGGATCGAGTGGTTTCACGTCTTCCGTCCTCTTCAGGGGGCGGGCGGAAGCCCAATCTACTTCCAACGCCTTCCTGCTTCATGGTTCTACCTACTTCTTCCGACCGATGGGTACTTTTGTTCGTCTTCAGGGTTTCTGAAACGAGCGGCACAGGGCATTCCAGACGGGGCGCCGCCATCGGCGCGTCTCGCCTTCGGCGCCAGGCTTTCGGAAGTGCAGTGGCGGCGTGCCCGCCCCGCGGATGCTGGCGGCGGGTCGTCGCTGGGCGGCAGAGGCAGGAGCGAGGCCCGCCTTCATGATCTGAGCGCCATGCCCTGCGGTCGAACCGAGGCATAGGATCAAGGTCGGCTCGGGGAGGGTACCCCGATGTTCCTCGTACCTGCTGGATGCTCTTGTGCATCCTGGGGTGTTTTCGCCGGCGGAGGGTCTCATGTTCTTGAAGGAGGTTCGTCTGTCCTAGGTCTGGCCGCATCTCAGCCCTTTCTGCGCGCCCGCTCTTTTCTCTCTCTCTCTCTCTCTCTCTCTCTCCCCGCCTCCAGCCTCCACGGTGCTGCCCGCGCGGGGTGGCCGAAACGAGCTGCGCCGCAGCTCGTTTCGGCCACCCCGCGCGGGGCGAGCGCCCGCGCCGCGACAAAAAAAGTTTGGCACCAGGCTTCTTCGGAGTCGGCCTTGAGCTGGGACCTGCCCAGGCGGTGCAACTCCGCTCCGCCTGGATGGCAGCCGTGCTCGAGTGGGCCTCGGGGGCTGGTTACCAGTCGGAGTGCACACAATCGCTCTGCAACGCTTCCCTGGATATATTGCAAAGAACTGCCAATCACGCGTTCTTCTGCCCACGCGTCCCTCCAGACGCTCGGCTCAGGCCTCCTGACGGTGCGGTAGCACAAGTCCCCCTCAACCGCTCAAACGCAGCTCTGTGTTTGGTGATAAACATGCCCCCCGACGCAGCTTCGGCGTCCAGGGCAAGGCCTGGGCCCGTGCGACATACACAGGCTGACTAGGTGCGCTATCACGGGAATGGGATGCTGAAGCCGAGACAGTAATACCTTAGCGTTGATGATTTGTGTGACTTCAGGGGGGCTCGGAATGAGCATCACGAGGGGGGAGGCGTGGTTCGTTCACGATTCGGGCGTCCGCTGAAGAGCCACGCACGCAGCGATCGGAGAAGACGAGCTCCCTTTCGCTCCTGAGCCAAGCGGTCCTGGGACCTAGGAGGGGGGGGCCCCGCGATGTTGAAACGGATGAGAAATTGTTGACGCTTCGCGAATCCCCACCAGTTACGCCTTCCAGCTGGCTGCGGCTGCAGCGTACCTTGGCAACCCTCACCCGTTACCCGATGGTAGCCGTACTGACGCTTGGGCACGCGTGTCCTATCATCGTGGTTCAGACTCGTGAGTGGTTTCGGATTCGCTGGCTGGTCGGCCCCACCATGGGCAACGGTGTGGATCGCGGAGTGAGCACTCTGTAGGTTCTTGCCTCTTCTGCCCCTGTCTTTGCCGACATCGATACGGCTGTGGTACCCTGGTACCACCTGCCCGGGTTAGGTCGGCCGCGCGGACTGGCGCCAACAGGTCGACTCTCCGCTGCCGAATGAAGAGCATTTTGCTTATTGCACGTGCGTTTACATTCATTGCATGTCTTACTGCAGGTGCTTGCCTGTTGTAGTTCTGCGAGCTGGCTTGCCGACACTGGCGGCTGTGTTCGCAAATTCGCACCGTTCCGCCGCCCCGGACGTCGCTCTCGCTCCTCGGCGGTCGCCTAGGAACCGCCAACCAAAAAGCGAATCCCCACCAGCCCATCCAGAAACGATGCCCAGAGGAATTGCCTCGATCAGGGAAGTGGGCAGCACACAGAGGAAGCCATTATGAGACATCTTGGGATATCTGGAGCCATCTTGGAGGTCATCTTGGGCTTTCCCAGGCGCTCTTGGGGTCATCTTAATCAGCGCCCCCCCCCAAGAGGCCAACACGTGGCTAAAACCTTAGTAGAATCAGCGATTTAGCATTCTCGCCGAGGCCTACTGGAGCATCCTAGGTGCCTCTGGGGGGTCTCTTGGGGCCTATTGGGGGTCTTTTGGGAGCCTCTTGGGGGCATCCTGCCCTTGGGAGCCTTGGGGGCCATCTTTGGGCCATCTTGGGCGAGATCGATCACAGGGGGGTACTAATTTCAGTCCCCCCCATCAGGAGGCCAAAATGGGGCCAAAATCATTGTAAAAACAATGATTATGGTTTCCTCGCCGAGGCCGTTTTGGACGCCCTGACACCTCGCGACACCCCCCCGTTCAGGTCCAGGGGAGGGGGTAGGGGGAGGAGTCAAGACCCCCCCCCCGCCCTCAAGCCGTTTCGCTCACTCCCACCCGCCCTCCCAACACATACGTAGCACCCGAGTCTGGCCCGAGCTTCAGCCTATTCAGCAGTCGTCTTTGGATGGGTAGCTACTGGGGGGCAATCCGCCGCCGCCACCGCCGCCTCCGCCGCCGCCGCCGCCGCCGCCGCCGCCGCCGCAGCCGGTGCCGCTACCGCCACCGCCGCCGCCGCCACCGCCGCCACCGCCGCCGCCGCCGCCGCAGCCGCCGCCGCCGCCGCAGCAGCCGCCGCCGCCGCCGCAGCCGCAGCCGCCGCCGCAGCCGCCGCCGCCGCCTCCGCCAAGTGTACTCTGTATTGTTTTTTGAAAGGGATGGTGTGGGGGGGGGGGGGGCGCATCGGGTTGGCTGCGCATGTTCCGAATTTGGAGGCAGAGTGTGTTTCGTATTGTTTTTAAAAGGGATTGTGTGGGGGGGGTCGTCATGGACTTGGGTTGGCCCCCAGTCGCCTGGGGGAGGGGGTGTTTATTAATAGGGAACAGTGATAAACCCTCCCCGAAGGGGAAGAAGGAGGGGTGGAAGAGGAAACTCCCTAAACCACCGACGCCCAGAGGGCTGGTGGGATTTCAGGACCTGTTTTCCCCAGGGCATGTTCCTTTCATACTGAGCTTCCCCTTCCCCTCCCCTCTTTTGCTGGTCGCAACTCCTGGCAAGTCGAACTCTGCACGGGCGCTAGTACAGTCTTGGTTCAAATCCAGCACAGTTTGGCCGAGTTTAGACTGATGCTGCTCAGCCCGGCTTGCTCCTTGCTTTTGCTCAGTTTTAATCGGTCGAGTGGCTCCCTAAGCCGGCTTGGTAGCCCTTACTCGACCCCGTGAAGTCGTTCTACGAGTTATTTCTTGACCCTGGCCGCCCCCTTCTTCCCGAGGGAAGGGGTGATGTCAGGATTCCAGCCGCGGCAGCGCACTGAGACCCGCAAGAGCAGCAGCCCGCGGCGTGAGCTGGGTACACCACAGAATTACCCTTCGCCGAAGTGGCCTTCTGTGCGCGGCTTTCGAGGAGCGTGTGGGTGACATTTTCATAAGTTTTCGGAAGCGCGTGTCGGTTCCTGCAATTTCTTCTGCCTCGTGATGCTTTCCAGCAGCTGCGCCTCGCCGATAGCGTTGTGGGGGTGCCCTCATCATCCCGAACGGCCGCGGGAGCCCCAAAGTATGTCCCGAAGGTCGAGCTGTCCTTCGCCAGAGTGACCTTTGGTGCGCGGCTTTCGGGGGGCGCTGGGGGGCCAAACCCAAGCGGCCGCTGTTGTCGGATCGCATGCAGCGATCGGCCAGCCGCGCACCAGAAGTCAGTTGCCAAGGGCCACTCCCTTGCATGTAACCGCATGCGGCGGGAGAGCGAGCCGCTTCAGAAGCCCCCGCCTGAGCGGGGAGAGGATCTTAACGGGGGAAGGTGCCATTCTGGAGCCTTTCTGAACCTGCCCGAACGCCCCGCCCCCCCCACATGACCCATGGTTTTTGGACGCCCCTGGCCGCACCAGGGCCATCCAGGTCGACGGCTGCGCCGGCTACGTGTCCCTGCTGAGAGAGGCCGGCCCCGCAGCCTGGTGCGGAGCGGCGGTGGGGCCAGTGCCCGCGGGTGCCTGCCGGCGCTGGGCGGGTCAGGGCGGGGGGGCGCCCGAGGGTCGTCGTTGCATCCCTGCGCGTGCGTGGCCGCTCGGCGAAGGGTCCTGGGCGAGGGGCGCAGTCGCCCTCTCTCTCTCTCGTGCTCGCGCGCGCGCGGTCGGAGCGAGGTGCGAGGTAGGAGCTTTGGCAAGAGAGGGCCTGGCCTCTGATCCGCAACACCCTCGCCGTGTCCTGGCCATTCAAGGTGCTGGTGTGGCGGCGCCTTCTGCGCACGGGGCGCGATTCTCTGGGGCGGGGTCTTCGAGCACGCCCGCGCCAGGGGGGCGGGGTCCACGATCGTGCAGCGGTGGAGCGGTGGAAGGTGGTCAGCCGGGCTGCTCCGAAGTGGTGCACTAGCGTGGTTTCGACTGCTGGCCTCCAGACCCGAATCGCAGGCATCGCGAGTCAGGACCTGCCCTGAGCTACCTGCGCAGTCACCCGGAGGAGGAGGAGGAGGAGGAGGAGGAGGAGGAGGAGGAGGAGGAGGAGGAGGACAAGGAGGAAGAGGAGAAGGAGGAGGAGGAAGAAGGCGAGGAGGAGGACCCGAGTAAAACTGGGATGCATCAGCGATTCTGCCCAAGTTCCATCGTCTCAAGTCCCTGCAAGTATTCTTGTCCGCTGCGAGAACCGCCCCCTTCAGTGACGAGCGCCCAGTTTGCATGCCACTCAGACGAGGCCCCGTTTTGCACAGGATCCGCTCCCCAGACTTCTAGCCAGAAGAAGCGCAGAGAGGTGGGATGTTCAAGGTGTCGGGTCCAGGGTCAAAGACGCAGACCGACCGTGCGTGCTTGAAGCTGTAAAAGAGCTCCTTGGGGGGTCCCTTCTCATGTTTGCATGGCTCCTGCGGGGCTCCCGCTAGGATTCCTATGGACTCCCCAAGAATCTTTAGGATCACTCAGGGTTTCTCAGGGTGCCACAGGATGCGATCGAATTCCTCATCGGGTGGGCCTCAGAGTTCCTCAGAGGGGCCCGCTGGGTTACTCCATATTCCTCTTGGCTCCCCAGGGTTCTTCAGGGATCCCCAGGACGCCTCAGCATTCCCCAGTATTCTTCAGGATTCCGCAGGATCCCGCATGGTTCCTCAGGATCCCTCATGACTCATCAAGATCCTTTTGGATTCCGGAGGGTTCGCCAGCATCCCCCAGAGTGGTCCCTCAGGAATCCTATGGATTCCTTGGGATTCCGACGTGGGGTCCTTCACGATTCGTCATGGTTCCCTCAGGGTTCCTCCAGATTCCTCAGGGTTCTTCAGGGTTCGTGCTGATTCTTGAGTAATCCCCTGGACACTTCGGGATTCCTCAGGATCCATCAAGATTGCTCAGTATATATCCGGATTGCTCCGGGTTTCGCACGATTCCCGAAGGACTACTCCCTGAGGAATTTCCTCAGGGGGTGGTCCGCAGGATCTCTCAGGATCATTCCAGGTTCATCACGATTCCTCAGATGTACCTAGAAGTCCTCTGGATTATCCTGGATTCCTTTCGGCTTGTCATGGCTCTTCAGTAGGCATCCAGATTCCTACGGGGGGTCCTTCAGGACCCCCCTGGAGGCCGCACGATTCCACCAGATTCCGCACGATTCCCTGGGATGATTCTGAATCTTTCAGGGGCTTCAGTTGCGAAGGAGGCCTGGTGGTTTGGCTTCAGTCGTTTTCGCCCCTCCGCGATTTTCAGATGTTTGCGCGAAACGTTCCCCCTCTTCCTCCTGCGCGAAATGTTCCTCGTCCTCTTCCTCCTCCTCTTCCTCCTCCTCCTCTTCCTCCTCCTCCTCCTCCTCCTCCTCCTCCTCCTCCCCCTCCTCCCCCCTTCCAAGGGAAATCCGTGGTACGAAAAAACAAAGGAACTGAAGTGCTGGAGGCTGAAACTTTGGAAAATACCTGGGACCCCCCCCCGAAAAAAACAAAAACACACACACAAAAAACTACAGATACCAGGGAACACCCGTCCGAAGGGACCACCTCCTCCTCCTCCTCCTCCTCCTCCTCCTCCTCCTCCCCCTCCTCCTCCCCCCTCCTCCTCCTCCTCCCTCCTCCTCCTCCTCCTCCTCCTCCTCCCTCCTCCTCCTCCTCCTCCTCCTCCTCCTCCTCCTCCTCCTCCTCCTCCTCCTCCTCCTCCTCCTCCTCCTCCTCCTCCTCCTCCCCCCCATCCAGCGGAACGCCACAACTTTAGCAACACCCTGAGAAAAATAATAAAAAAAACAGAGAAACTGAAGTGCTGGAGGCTAAAACTTTGGAAAAACCGTTGAAGAAACCAAACGCCACAAAAAACAAAGTTTCCAAGCAATGCCGCCAGCCCATATAACCTCCCCTTTGGGGCGGACGGGATTTCTATTAGATCTGTGTTTGGTTTTTTGGTTGTACCAGTGGTTTCCTAAGGTTTCTGCC